TCTGAACGAGAAATTCAAAGATTATTTGCGGGAATGTTCGAGGCCAGACCAAACAGAGAAACAATTCGACGAATCGTTAATAATTGCTTGTTCGAACATTTAATTTAATTTTTCAGTTTATTTATTTTTAGAGTTTTATTAGACCAGGGTCGATAATTTTTGAAACCAAAAAAAATAAAAGTAGGATGAAACCCATTGGAAAAGGAGAAGAATATAATAAAAATAAAAGGAAAAATAAATTACGGGCGATCTGACTTTGGGAAGTGGGAGGGGGGGTTTTAAGGGTAAAAAATGGTTTATCTCGATTTCCGGTAAAACTACAAGTCCTATGGAAAAAAGTTAAATGGCAAAGTTGTAGGTAATAAAAGGATCTACAACTTTTGTAATTACAATTTTTTTACATAACCTCCAAATTTATGGGAAAAATTCAAAAAACCAAGTTTTTGGTTTTTTATTTTTATCTTTTTCAAAAAAAAAATTTTTTCCACGAAATTTGGTGAAAACTTACCTTTTTATGTCCCAAATACACTGTAATTTATTTGATTTGAAATATTTATTATTTCGCCTTATTTTGACTTAATATCAAAAAAGCACCCTAATTTTCAATCGAAAATTCTCGCGTCAAAATATCAGCTTTTTTAAAAAAGTCGGTGTGCTTTTTGTTTGTTGAAATCTCTACTTTCTGATGGTGTAAAAAAATATACATTACTATGGTAAATGTTCTCAGAAAATGCAAAAAATATTATAATGAATAACGAAAAAAACTCGAATTCGAAAATTTATTTTAATCATTATGTACAATTTCATCAAAAAAATGTGATTGTTGCAATTTTTTTTAGTTAAAAAGTTTATTTATTAAATTCTAATAACATTTATGTCAGAAAATCTCATAAAATATAAAAATACATGTAAATCATACTATTGAATTTAGATACTTCATTCTGATTACGTTATTCATTATAATATTTTTTGTATTTTCTGAGAACATTTACCATAGTAATGTATATTTTTTTACACCATCAGAAAGTAGAGAGTTCATCGAACAAAAAGCACAACGACTTTTTGAAAAAAGCTGATATTTTCACGCGAGAATTTTCGATTGAAAATTAGGGTGCTTTTTTGATATTAAGTCAAAATAAGGCGAAATAATAAATATTTCAAATCAAATAAATTACAGTGTATTTGGGACATAAAAAGGTAAGTTTTCACCAAATTTCATGGAAAAAAAATTTTTTTTGAAAAAGATAAAAATAAAAAACCAAAAACTTGGTTTTTTGATTTTTTCACATAAATTTTGAGGTTATGTGAAAAAATTGTAAATACAGAAGTTGTAGATCTTTTTATTACCTACAACTTTGACATTTAACTTTTTTCCATAGGACTTGTAGTTTTGCCGGAAATCGAGATAAACCATTTTTTACCCTTAAAACCCCCCCCCCCTCTCACTTCCCGAACTCAGATCGCCCGTAATTTATTTTTCCTTTAATTTTTATTATATTCCCCTCCTTTTCCAATGGGTTTCATCCTACTGTTATTTTTTTTCTCTTTTTACCATTTTTAAAGGCTTCTGCACTGGTCTATATTTTTATTTAGAGTTTTATTTTTATTTTTAGTTATTTTTATTTGAGAAATCTTTTTTATTAAGAATACTATTTTTGTTGTTGCCCTAGTTCTCAAGGAAAAAAATCAAAACATTTTATTTTTAGGATTCGGGTATAAAATATTTAAAAAGAAAATTAAAATGTGCATCTCCACTCCAACGCAGTTTGCTTAACACTAAATCATTTAGTCTAAATGCAGCCAGAGACTCTGGCCCAGAGTTGACCTCGCTTACAATTCGCACGCATCCGGGGCTCTGGCCAATCAAATTCTATTTGGCGTTCTATCCTTGTTCTTTTCACGCGGGTATTGAACAGCCGTCCTTTCCAGTGCGGTCGGACTTGCATTTGCAAGCACTGTATATATATATATTAGGGTGGGCCGAAAATCCGCTTTTTTAGAATTTCGTTTAGTAATAGCAAAAATTTTGTACATTATGTTGTAAAAAAAAATTCTGTAAAAGATTAAAATTTTCGATCAACATCCTAGGCTCGCCCAACGCAATTAAAGATCAAAATGTTCAAAAAAATTTTGATACTAAAATCGGGTTTATTTCTGAAACTATCCATCTGAAGTAATTTTGTGTAATGACCTTTTTTGAAGAGCATAAAATTTCCGATCGAAATAAGTTAAGAACAAATTGTTTTGAACATTTTGATCTTTAATTGCGTTGGGCGAGCCTAGGATGTTGATCGAAAATTTTAATCTTTTACACAAAATTTGTTTACAACATAATGAACAAATTTCTGAAACTATCTATCTGAAGTTATTTTGTGTAAGGACCTTTTTTGTAGAGCATAAAATTTCCGATCGAAATAAGTTAAGAACAAATTGTTTTGAACATTTTGATCTTTAATTGCGTTGGGCGAGCCTAGGATGTTGATCGAAAATTTTAATCTTTTACACAAAATTTTTTTACAACGTAATGAACAAAATTTTTGCTATTACTAAACGAAATTCTAAAAAAGCGGATTTTCGGCCCACCCTAATATATATATATATATATAGTGCTTGCAAATCCAAGTCCGACCACACTGGAAAGGACGGCTGTTCAATACCCGCGTGAAAAGAACAAGGATAGAACGCCAAATAGAATTTGATTGGCCAGCCGGCAGGCTACGACAACGCATACCCATCGCGCACCTCGCAGCGTGCTTGACACGAGGATATCAGAACGAGAGTTGCAGTAGTGCCAGCAAGAGGTAGTAATTTTAGTAAAAAAGATTATTTAATTAAAAAATGTAGGTAGGTACACGTTGGAACAAAAAGTTCAGATTTTAATCTGGCATTTTGCTGGTAATTCTGAACGAGAAATTCAAAGATTATTTGCGGGAATGTTCGAGGCCAGACCAAACAGAGAAACAATTCGACGAACCGTTAATAATTGCTTGTTCGAACATTTAATTTAATTTTTCAGTTTATTTATTTTTAGAGTTTTATTAGACCAGGGTCGATAATTTTTGAAACCAAAAAAAATAACAGTAGGATGAAACCCATTGAAAAAGGAGAAGAATATAATAAAAATAAAATAATCTTTGAATTTCTCGTTCAGAATTACCAGCAAAATGCCAGATTAAAATCTGAACTTTTTGTTCCAACGTGTACATTTTTTAATTAAATAATCTTTTTTACTAAAATTACTACCTCTTGCTGGCACCACTGCAACTCTCGTTCTGATATCCTCGTGTCAAGCACGCTGCGAGGTGCGCGATGGGTATGCGTTGTCGTAGCCTGCCGGCTGGCCAATCAAATTCTATTTGGCGTTCTATCCTTGTTCTTTTCACGCGGGTATTGAACAGCCGTCCTTTCCAGTGTGGTCGGACTTGGATTTGCAAGCACTGTATATATATATAACTTTGTACTCGCTATATAAAATATTTAGCGCCGTCGGGGCCAAAACAAAATTGTATGTATTACATACATAAGAATTTTTTTTAATGCGCCATATATTGATACTCTCGCTGAATGTCTACCCTACATTTATAGTTCTTCTTCATTGGCGTCTACTCTGTGATAGGCGTAGTTGCATTTGTATCTATGCGCAGTATGTACCGGATGATTCTATCCATGCGTAATAGCCTATTACCGTTGAGTGAATTATTATTAATTATTAATTAATGCTATTATTAATAGGTATCAGATGGTAGACTCTTTGCGCAGTATGTACCCGATAGTTCCAAACAGGGTGTCCCAAAAATAGTGTGCAATACTTTACAAGCTGTTTTTAGGGCCAAAAATAGGAAGAAAACTTTACATAAACGTGGTTATTTGGTTGGTTTGTTAGTTTTGCTTAATATGTTATTAAGGTTTTTTTTATTTTATAACATATTATGTCTGTATGTTAGATCTGACTGACACTGTTTTTTTTATATGATTTTGTTCGAAATAAAATGTTTTGATACATGTTTTTTGTTTATTAAATGTAGCTTAAAAAGTAGATTTTAACTAATTTAATATACATATAAGTTAACAATACTATGCTATTTTTTTTAAATTTAGTTAAGTTACTAAGTAATTTAACTACTTACAATATATAGTAGCTTGTAACTTGTAGCTAGCTACTTTGCTAACTTGCCCAGTTCTCCCAACCGTGTACCTAAATTGTTTTATTATGTAATTTCCAAATTTTAAACAAAACTGTAAAAGGGGTCGATTAAGTATTTTTAGACAAAACGTTATCTAAAATGTTGCTCTTATTGTGCTCCATAAATTTTAAAAAATTTCCACTACGCTTTAGGGACTAGATAGAATTTTAGGTTGGGGGGTTAAGATAACGGTAGCCCCCACCCCTTTTTTCTATACAGTGGATTCTTATTTTCCTAATTTTGCTCCATTTTGACCTTTACTACAAAATTTTGCTCCACAAACAAAGCGGAGTTATGAGGATTAAAAAAATGAATGAATAACTATAGGTAGGTAGATCTAAGGTTTATATAATAGTACTGGTTTAAGAAATTTGTGCTTATTCTTTAAATGAGTGTATAATAGTTTATTTTAAATTTTTAAGGTAGGAAAAGAAGTGGTGGAGGGAGGGCTGACTAATTTTTTCTCCGGATTGGTTCTGGGGCAATTTTTTTAATAACGAAGCAAAATTAGGAGAATCCACGTTCAGATAGGGAAAAAAATAGTGGGGGGCTACCGTTAAATTAGCCCCCCAACCTAAAATTATATCTAGTCTCTAAAGCGTAGTTGAACAAAATTTTAAATTTATGAATCAAAATGGAACAAAATAAGAGTAACATTTTAGATAACATTTCATCTAAAAAAGTGCCATTATAATAGATTAAACAAATATGTAATTTTTTTAGATACTTTAAACATAAATTATAAATATTACAATAGATTTTTAAAACTAAACGAATTAACCAAGTTAAACCAACTAATGAAAATATTCCTTTCAGATCTTCAGTTGGCTGCTGAGCTGGGAAAAACTTTATTGGAACGTAATAAAGAGTTGGAATCGATTGTTAAATTTCAATCAAACACATTAGAAGACCAAGCACAGGAAATAGAGGTAATATATATTATAATTTATAAATATACCCCAAAGTAGGTAATTGATATTATACTACGAGTATAGGTAATAGTGAGCAATTTAATTTTTATTTTTAATAGTTAATATTAATATTGTAAAGGATTATTTTTAAATAATAAAGCTCCCAGATAGCACAAAGGTATACTATGGACGTCCAATGGACGTATGCTCGTGGACGTCTGTATGTACATAGGATGTCCATTTTTTTTCTATGGACGTCCCATGGACATCCGTTTAGAGTCCAGATGTCACAACTTTGGACATCCATAAGTCGTCCACCGATGGACGTCTATAAGGTGTTTGAACCATTCCTCCAGCATCCAGGACCTGCTTTTTTGCTTACTTTAACTGTTTTTTGCGACTGTATTTTCATTGCGATGTTGCAGAAAATTTTCTACAACATGACTGAAATGCCTTTTGTCTGGCTCAGTAACAATCCCACTAGGAATATAAATATTCTAAAAGTTGCAGGAAATCCTTGTATTCGACTCAGGAACATTACATTTGCAATACTACAAGTGTTTAACATTTCATTGATAGCTTAAGTCCTTTATAGCACGCGCTTGCTTGAATGTCAGTGAGATTGATCATAACTGTTGTTATGCAGCCAACAATACGTTTTAACTTGCATTTCTGTAATAATAATTATGGACGTAAAATGGACACTATATGGACGTCCATTAAAATCGTACAAAGGATGTAAATATATGGACGTACATAGTACATCCATTTTTAGTACGTGGACCAATGTACTTAAAATGGATCTTAAACGGACGTCCATTGGACGAATGGTGCTATCTGGGCTAACAGATAACTACTACATGTTTAAAAATTTTAAACAAATTTGAATAAAGTGTATAATAAATCCTATTAATTATAGATAATTATTATTATTGAAAAAATGCATTTGCTTATTATTTATTTATTTAAAAAGCAATCTCAAATTTGAATACTTACACATTATAAAAACTATCATTGAAATGAATACATTTATTATAAGAAATAATTATTAAAAAGGAATGTTTCTTTTAGTACCTTACAAAACAGACAGCAGCCTTACGAGAAGTAAACGATTCTAGATTAAGGATATACGAACAACTGGAAGTAAGCATCCAAGATTTAGAACGTGCCAATCACCGTTTAGTTCTAGAAACATCAGCAGAGAAAAAACACATAAAAAGCCTAAATTCCACCATAGAAACCCTTGAAGCCAAGTGCGAAGACCTTCAGGGTGTAGTAGATGATTTGAGACTGGAATTAGATGTACTTAAGAGAAAAAATCAAAGAAATGATAATGAGGATAGCTGCATTTTTAAGAGTCAAGAAATTATCAATCTTAAAAGCATTCCTGCGGAGGGAAGAGTCAGTTCGAAAAACCCTGCTACACAGAAAAATGAGGTAAACATCATCCAAAACTAATTTTGACTAATATCTAAATGTTGTTCTTATAGACAAGTGTAAAAACACCGAATTCTTCCAAGACTGACATAACCCAACCATCCCCAGTCAAACCAACCTCCAACACCGAAAAACCAACGAATCCGTCTCAGGAGCTCGACCAAGATGGCGGAATGGAACAGATAAGCCATTTGATGACGCAGATGCGTGAGGTGCGCAGCGCATTTTGCAGGGAAGAACGCAGAGCTGCCGAACTTGAAGAACAACTGGCAACAATGGTGCAACAAAATCAAGACTTAGAAAACCAATTGGTGCAACTTCATCATAGAAATGACGATGTCAAGAGTATGCACGATGAACTGACCACTCTGGAAGAAGTCAGGTATTGTTTTACCCATTTGATAATAGGCCATAAAAATATTATTCTTAACAATCACAAATTATTAATTATCACATACCTTAGAATGAAAAGGTTATAAATGCAGTTGCCATGTTTAACGAAAATGCCTTATCTGCAATATTTAATATTGTATATAACAGTGCAGCTGCACTTATAACCGGATTGATATTTGATATGTAAAATTCGTTAAATGCTTTATAACCTTAAAATTATAATGCCTCCTAAATATTGAATTATTAAAAAAAGAAATAATTAATATCTACTTAATACGAAGTTATTAATTATTATATTACTTATTATATTATTATTATTTTAATGTGCTTCCAACAGGCACCAGGCCCAATTACAGGAGTACACACTGACACACACAAATAAACAGCCATACCCACGCCCTCTCGGCTTGTAGTATATTGTAACAATATATATAGATATAAATTATTCGTTTTTTTAAATAATATAATAGGTATTTAGAAGGCATTGTAATTTTAAGTCTATAAAGCATTTAAAGCCCGTATTAATACATTTGCAATTGCAATTCCAACTTGCATGATACTAACCGAAAAAAATATATAAAATATTATAAAGTACAATTAAAATTAAACTTAGCTTCTGCCACACGACATTATAATATACAGACTGTATAGAATCAAGTAAGTAAGGCTGGAGACAAGGATGACAAATTATATTCTGATCAGAGGAAAAGAAACAGACTTTAATTGGGCGTGGTTTAAACCAAGCCATTCGTAATTACGAACCATAGTTGCCAGGTTGTTTTAAATCAGAAGAGTACGATTATAATTATTTAATAAATAGTTCAATTTTATTTGTTTGAAACTTTAAAAATAACAAAAAAATTAATATTATGTCAAAAATAATTTGATTTAGTTAATTTTCTTACTTTTAATATTAAAAAATAAGAAAAACAACCCTTTTAGGAAACAAGAATAGCATATGGCAACAGCGCGGCATGCCGCGGATTGTAGCTCCACTGGGTAAAGGCCTATTTTGAAATAAAGTTTGTATTTGGCGATACGATCTACCAGTGTGATGCCATACCATAATTTGGTATTTTTCCTCATGAGTAAAAACCATTTTATTTGAGAAAATACTTAAATTCTTACAAAGACGTACGCAAAGTCTCAGACGCACAGACAGTGTTGCCCGTAGTAGAAAAATTAAAGTACTGAAATGGCAATAAAAACTTATTGAATTTGAAAGATAACGTACTGACTTTGAGAAATAAATATTAAACTTATATGAACGTAATTTTATTTTGTAATTTATCAATAAACACATGCACATAAATAAACTATAAACATCAAAAGAACAAAATAGATAATTATTATTATACCTATACAAAAAAACAATATTGTTGGTAAAATTAAAAAATAGTCTACCTATCGATAATTAATTTTCTTTTTTAACAAAGATTGAGGTATTTGGCTTCAATAATTCCTATTATTCCTATGAGCGCTTCTTGGCGAACTTGGAACAAACCTTATGTCAACACTAAGTAGACAACGCGCGCTACCAACAGTTTAAAACTTAAAATACCAGGATACTAAAATAATTCAGTATCACCAACCTAAACTTTTAAGTTTTTCTTTAATTTTTATTTAAATAAAGGGAAAAAAATCTAAAACTGGAAAACGTACCGAAAACCATCAATGAGGTACTTGCTTACTTTTTTTAATTCGAAAGTACTGAATTCGGTACAAACGTACTGACGCTGGCAACACTGCGCACAGATCATACGACAATGATACAAATTCAATCCCTACCACAGTGGGCGTGGTTTGGCACTTGTTTTATTTAAGTGTATCTATTCGTTTTAATACACACTGTATATTATGTAATAGAATTAAGAATACAAAGCATAGATGAAAAAGAAAGAACACACAAAAAACAAAAACACAAACACAAACACAAACACAAAAAACAAACCATCGTCCCTAGGGAATTTAAAGTGAGGATTCCCTGTTAAAAATCACCCATAGAGACCAATAGAAACCAATAAAAAATCAGAATGGAATGAATTGGTCTTTATTGGGCCTATTGGTTTCTCAACAGAATGAGCATTGGTTTCTATTGGTAATTTCCGTACTGGAAAATGCCAATAGATTACCTAATGGTCTGAATTGGTTTTTATAAGAAGTTACAAGTACAGGAAATTCCCAATTGAAATTCAATTGGTAAATACCACTTAAATGTTCAGCGCCTGCGCAATTTAATACAAATGACCACTTGTTTCTATTGGCAATTTTCTTACTGGAAAATACCAATAGATAAACTAATGGTCTGAATTGGTATTTTATCGGTGTGTAGGTACAAGGAACCCTATTGGTATTTACCACTTTAATATTTATTTTCAAAATTCGCCAATAGGTAGGCAACCCATGCATACCTCTCGCCTCTGTAGCACAATACATAGGCCTATAAAGGTGGAATGCCTTGAGCTGCTAAGTAAGGATTCTTTACTAAGGCAAAATTACTGGCCATGGAAACGCTTGGCGTTTTGGAATTTTTAAAGGGGCACATGTCGTCCTGTGGCCCACTCTGTGAAAAGTAAGCAGTGGGCCCCACTAATTACTTTTAGCAGAAGCTATTTATAAAATTTAAATTAAACAGCACTATTTTTGAGAAATTATTTAACCATCAAAACACGTAATTTTTTACCTTAAAGACGTCTAAAATGGATAGTGGGGACCAATTCAAACCAATAGCGGTACCTCTGGAAAATCCAAATAGCTCTATTGGGAATTACCAATAAAATATATCTATAATATATCTATTGGGAATTACCAATAAAATACGATTAGTCTCTATCGGTCTGTATTGGGATTTTCCAGCGGTGTCGCTATTGGTTTGAATTGGTAATTCATGGTACAGATACCACTATTGAGACCAATTCAAACCAATAGAGCTGCCGCTGGAAAATCCCAATAGCTTTTCTATTGGTCTTTATGGGTGATTTTTAACAGGGTTGGTATGAAAAAAGTTACCAATTTTCCCCCAGACTTGCATGCAACTGGAAATAAAAATTGAGCAGACCGATATTTTGAAACGGCAATAGACTTGCACGAAACGTCGCTGTGCGCATGCGTACGGACTACAATTATTTACATATAAAAATCTCAAGCAAAAAATTATTGAAACGTTAAGAAACCGATTACAAACTTGAAGCATTTATATCTTTGTTTCCCAAATCTTTACTCGTCCTTCACATTTATCCTTTGGAATTCTGGAATATAGAAAAAAATCTGAGAATTTGTTTTTTTTACAGACAAGGTCAAATGTGCGCAAGATGTTTGCGCAGCGTTGACGGAAACGGTAGCGAGATTCCTGATGAAGACGACTCCAGTATGCTGGATGAACTGATGAACTCCTCTTCTACTCCACAGCACAGATCGTCATTTACTATGGAAGTGCAGGTGAGCAATATAAAAAACTTGCTTGTCCGTCATTTGGGGTTCCTCAGTTTGGAACAGTGCTACTTTTAAACTAACACTAGGGTTAAAAGGATTTAAAGGTAACCAGTGAGCTTTAAATAAAGCTAAATATACGTTTTAAAGTTCAGAAACAAATGGAAGAGAATTATATATAATTAATGACGATTTGTTAATATAAATTAACTTGATTTATATTAAGAAACCATTAGGAATATTTCCTTCCTCATTAATATATAGTGTGCCCCAACGAAAACTGTCACCTACTCCCAGCGGGGGTAGCCACCCTAACCTAAAAATCTTTAATGGAACGATAGGTCATGTAAAAACTTGTTCGAAAGATCTTTTAATTTTCAAAATAATTCTGCAAAAAAATTCTTATTTTCATAAAAAACGCATTTAAACGGGTGCAATAATTATTATTGTTATGTAAAATATTTTACATATTAATTAATTAAATGCTCAAAATGTTCTCCATTACTTTGATAACAATAGTAAAGACGATTATCAAATACTTGTCCTACTTTTTCAAAAGTTTCTGGTATGCTTCAACTATTTGGAGTCGACTTAATGTAAGTACAAGGGAGTTAAAGCTGGTGATCTTAGGCTACTTAAACGGTCCTCTTCAGCCAATCCATTTGCCAGAAAAATGCCAGATAGGCCTAATGCATAATGCGGTGGTGCTGTCTTGTTGAAAGTGAAGGTTATACTCACTAAGTATCAGGTTTTCACCTCTATCTCTATGATCTTTAATTTTTTTTTGTAATTAATATATCAATGGTATCTTCTAGTAAATTTAAGTAGTTATATGCAGTGAAATTTTCTTCAATAAAAAATGGACCACAATTTTATTTTCCAAAATGCCGGCCCAAACATGTAATTTTTGAGGGTGCTAAAAATTCTTCTTTACAAAAATGTGAGGATTTTCATCACTCCAGTTTTGCTTATTGACATGTCCATTTAGGGAAAACTTGCATTCGCCGCTCAAACAACCTAAAATTGCTTTTAATTTTTATGCATTATGCCTTAAATCTGTTTGTGTCTACGCTTTTAATAAATAAATACAAGCTTTTATAAATACTTACCTTCCTTTAAGCATTCTCTACGAGTATGCGAAGTTGATCTCTTTTTTTATTTTTAACCGATCCAGTTTGTCTAAATTTGTCCATAATATTCTGAACATGAGTATGACACAAGTAGGCACTTTGATTTGTACACTACAAATAAAACTAATTTCGATACGTTCTTTCACACCATTTCGTAAAAATGTTCGTACAGAAACAATACTGACGAATTGATTTAGTTGACCGGTAAATCAGATATGTTATCTACCATATGAGTATGAGTATAAGAGACGTATAACCGGCCCCATTCCTCATCGCTCCCGGGCCCTGCATAGGCGTGTGTTTCCTTGAGCCGATTTTCTATCGCCACCAGCAACGGCGCGGCTTCACCCGGGTTTGCTGGTTGCGAATGTCCATTGCGCCCCGTACTGTCCCCTAATTAGGGCTCGAGAGCGAAATGCCAATAGTTTTAGTAACCATTCCCGGGTTCGCCGAGCCGATGCTATACGCCCAGTAGGGTCATAAAGGAGGTAGGACGGGAGGGATATATATTTTGGTGTTTGGGGGATAATTACGCTCAAATCTAAGTACGACGCGGTACCCCCTGGACCAGGCATTTAGTAATACTCCAAACATTTGGGATTACTGTATGGAGTTCTGGAGTTGTTATCTTGCTGCAGGAGCCTACGTCTTGGTCTACGTTTTTGTCGTTATTGTTCGTGTCCAAGTAGGATTGTTCCTGCACATGTGTCTTCAGTCTTGTGGCCGAAAACCATCAATAGATAGTTTAGTAGTTGGATATGTAACTTGTAGCTTTTGATGTTTTTTTTACTTGTTTACTTGTTTATTGCCGCAGTAGTTCGAAATTTCTAACAATTTTTTAGTTATTGTGTTGCCCAAACACGTTTTGTGGTAGAATTGTTTTGTCTTTTTTCTTAATTTCCAAAATTAAGTATTGCATTTATTTATTACTTAAACAAATGACAAGCTCAATTATTCTGTTATAATCTAATGTGTTTACAAATCCAATAGAGTTTGATTAGTATGCTGTTTTTACTGGTTTTCATGATTTATTGAGTGTTATATTAAGTGTCAAATGTTTATTATTGGTCTCGTTTGGGTTAAAATTAACGTCATTTGTTTGGGGCCGTTCTTTAAGTCACTGGGTTTCATACCCAGATAGCACAAAGGTATACTATGGACGTCCAATGGACGTATGCTCGTGGACGTCTGTATGTACATAGGATGTCCATTTTTTTTCTATGGACGTCCCATGGACATCCGTTTAGAGTCCAGATGTCACAACTTTGGACATCCATAAGTCGTCCACCGATGGACGTCTATAAGGTGTTTGAACCATTCCTCCAGCATCCAGGACCTGCTTTTTTGCTTACTTTAACTGTTTTTTGCGACTGTATTTTCATTGCGATGTTGCAGAAAATTTTCTACAACATGACTGAAATGCCTTTTGTCTGGCTCAGTAACAATCCCACTAGGAATATAAATATTCTAAAAGTTGCAGGAAATCCTTGTATTCGACTCAGGAACATTACATTTGCAATACTACAAGTGTTTAACATTTCATTGATAGCTTAAGTCCTTTATAGCACGCGCTTGCTTGAATGTCAGTGAGATTGATCATAACTGTTGTTATGCAGCCAACAATACGTTTTAACTTGCATTTCTGTAATAATAATTATGGACGTAAAATGGACACTATATGGACGTCCATTAAAATCGTACAAAGGATGTAAATATATGGACGTACATAGTACATCCATTTTTAGTGTGGACCAATGTACTTAAAATGGATCTTAAACGGACGTCCATTGGACGAATGGTGCTATCTGGGTACCTTACGCATTTGTTGTTGACAGTTTTATTGTCCTACTCAGCTTTGGTGTATCACCGCGATAGTTCGATTGGGAAGTTTTCCCTGCTTAAAATACCCCATAGAGACCTATACAAAATATTCTATAGGGCGCTACCGGTTTCAATATGTGCATTTGTCCAAGGTTTTTTCCGGATACAGCCCGATAGAAAATGTATAGGAAATTACCTATAGGCACACCATAACTTTTACATTTTCCCTATTGAGACCGATAGAAAATAACTCAATGAAGGATATATAGGAATATCCCTATAGAACAACCATAAAACATTTGACAAAATTTTATTAAAACCTATGGGGTCCTATAGGGAAAAAACTAATTTCTACATTTATGTGTATTTTCCCCATTGAAACCGATAGCAAATAAATCAATGGTGGATATCCCTATAGAACAACCATAAATCTCAACTATGGGTCCTATACAAACCGATACACCCTATAGAAACACCATACATCCCGATACAAATATCTATCGGTTTGAACAGGGCCTCTATGGGGTATTTTAAGCAGGGTTGTTATTTGTCTTTTTTCTTTATTATTTTATGGTGTTTGGTTAGTATTGTCTTTCTAATGTTTCTATTGTTACTGATGTTTGTTTTTTTTCTAGAGTTTAAGCAGTGTGCCTTTCTTTGGGTTTTAAAGGTATCTGTCGTGTTTAATTTTGCAAATTATGTGTTAGGTCATGCATATGCTTCAGGATACTTATCAATTTTTGCGGATGGCCACTTCCCCTCTTGTTTGACCTCTTTTTTTTGTCTAGTGAAAAGCGTCCAGTGACAGGTGGCAAGACCAGAAGCTGAAACTTGTCACTTAACTCTTTCTTATCACTTAACACTTTACTCTTTATTGACCGTTACACTAATTTAGTTTGCACTTTATGAAAATTGTTTGTTGGTTTTGTTCTCTTTTGTTTGTCCAGTGAAAAGCGTCCACTTGAGGGGTGGAATGACCGCCCAGAAGCTCGCTTGTCACTTAACTCTTTCTTATTACTTAACTCTTAACTCATTGACCGTAGGGTAGTCTATCCTCACTGTAGTTGTTTCACTATAATTGGTTTGCACTTTTGAGAAATTTTTTGTTGGTTTTTGTCAGATACGTTAAGTATCTACCATATGAACATAAAAACATAGTGACAAAAAATTGCATCATAAATATAACAATCTAATACAAAATAACTAAGGACAAATTAAACATGTTATTGCAATGAGGGCAGGTTCACAAGAATAAAATCTTAATATTTATACAAAATCATATACGATTTTTATGAAGATGAGAATAACTTTTTTGCAGAATCTTTAAGAGAATTAAAAGACATTTCGAACAAGGTATATTTATACAAAATTATATACGATTTTTATGAAGATGAGAATAACTTTTTTGCAGAATCTTTAAGAGAATTAAAAGACATTTCGAACAAGGTATCACATGACCTATAGTGCCATTGAAGATTTTGAGGTTAGGGTGGCTACCCTCGCTGGGGCAAATCAAACTCTCGAAATGGGTTTTTCAAATTTTATTTAGCGATTATCATTTTAAAGATATGACAGTTTTTGGTGGGACATACCGTATATATGTTCTACTAAGAAAAAGTACATTTATACATACAAAAGGTATTTATTGCTCTTAGCATGTCTTATTCTTTTATTTCTTTTCCAAAGTTTGTATATAAGTATGCTTTATTTTGTTTTTGTATTGTCAAAAAAAAGGTTTTATATCAACCAGATGTACAAATATTAAATTTTTTAATCTTTAAATTTGCTTGCTTTTTCATTTTTCATTTATATATACCAAAGGTCTTAGCATTTTTTGTTAGTCCTCCTTTTTTATTTATTGTTATTTTTATTTTATTTATTTTATTTTAATTTAATTTTACGCTTAAGGCTTATAACACCAATGTTTTTGTGTATACATTTTTTTTGTATCGTCCTAGTAGCAAAAGAAAGTTCTAGGTTTATATGACAGCTGTACAAATATTAAATTTTCTAAACCTAAAATTTTCTTGCTTTCTTGTGCAGTGCATGACTTAGCTGCTATATTTATTTCCTTAGGACAAAGACCTGGAGGATATTTTCCGAAGGGACATGTCTGATCTTTGGATTTCGCCGACTGCAAACCTTATATCAGTGTTTATTGACCTGTGCATTTATTTAAGAGACATTTACCTTGTACCTCTTTTTAGCCGACCACTTAAAATACCATTTGTATTCCTTAAATACTGTGCCAAAAATAAGCTAAACTGATTAAGTACAATTTCGAACAAAATGTATTTTGCTTAGTAATAGATATAAGAGGTACACATATAAAAAAATATTAAATACTTTAAAAAATCTACCAAAAATAACTTTAAAAATAATTTAAAATACTTACTGACTGGACAAAACACTGATATCTCGTCAAAAAAGGTACGTAGTTAGATAAACGAAAACGAAAAGTTTGTTGCAGAAACAAATTTTACTGATTTATACAAAGTAATCTATGTATTATTTTAATTAAATTATAAAATTATATACATTATATTTTTAAATATGGATATAATAATGCATAGATTGGGTTTGTTACGGTATTAATATATCATAGATCATATTTATATTTTGTTATTATCTAAACTATACTTAAAAGAATATATTATGACCTTTGCTTAACATAAACCTATTTTGTATATATGTTTTGGGGGACTAAAAACTGTTATTTCAATATTGTTAGTAGTAATTACTATACTAATTAACACTTCCTGAATAATAAAGGTAGCAGTTACTACCAATAATAATGATACATGAATTTCTGGCTTGCTTTATAATTGTTTAAGTTTTTGTATTGTTTGTAAAATAAATTTAATACGTTTTGTTATGTGCTGTGCTTTATTAATCGTTTTTATTTATATTTGCACTATTTCCTTAATTTCCTTATACACGTATCCAAAATAAATAGGTATTTTCATTTCAATAAAATAGCAATTTTTAACTAATGAAAATTGCTTATTTACTAACTGGTCTTTAAATTAATAGACTACTTCTCAACGATATGATAAAGTGTGGGATTTTAGGCAAGTAAGAAGAGAGATAATCCTTCAAACGCCGGAAGCACGATCATAACCAAATCAAAGAATACATTAATGCAACAAAACTATAATTTTTAATACCAACCATATGGTTGGTAGGTATTATGGGGTGTAGGGTCTATGATACCTACCAACGTAACGTAATCAAATTTAGAAAATGCCAGACGGATGTCTGCAAGTCAAAAAAACATTAAAGCTTAATTTAAACTGAAATTTTGCCAAGCATAAAAATTGTGATCAAAATTAATTCCAGAAACAATATTTTAATGTTTTGATGCATAAACCCATCAATTTCAAAATGACAACAGTAACTATTGTGAATGTTTCAATGATCTTGTCTACTGCGAAAAGTCATAGTTTTCGATGTGGTCCTCGGAAATAGTAATTTACTTAACTTTAATGCGGAAAGTGCTACTTTTCGGCACCCGACTGCTGTTGGTCATCAGTGCAGAAGACACTTTTCGTGCATGTTAGGTACAATACAAGCAAGGGAATCCCGCAATTTTTTCATCAGTTTTCATTTTTAACATTTTTTAATTTCCACACTGTCAAGAGTGCGCCAAGGAATTGCGTGCGAAAAAGCGCAACTTTCCGCACTCTTGTAGAAAAAGCTTATTTGTGTCCTCAATTGAGGGTAATCAAAACTGAAGCATATTATGCGCCAAAATGGTAAACGTAATTGGTTTAAAAAATATTTGGTTTTTAAAAAGTTTTGTATTTGAAAAGACCAAAGATTTTTTAATTTACCTGTTTGGAAATGGAAATACCTAAAAACATATTTGCATGTGGAGGACACTAATAATATAGTTTACAAGAAATTAAAAAAATTGATATATATTTCATAAGCACGGTCCAATTTCTATTAAAAAAATTTAATATTTGTGGCCAAAGAAAAACTGCTCTTTTTCTTTGATACATAATATTATATTGGTACATTACTATACGTGTAAATAGTTCCTCTCATGTAATGTACAGTACCCGCCGTGTAAGTTGGCGAGAAAGCAGTTTGCGCAGTTGACATAATTTGGTAATGGTACCGCCCATCAAGTAAAGATTAACAAGCGTTCGGCAATGCAGGGGCTCGTATTTCATATTTAGGCAGTAAACAAGTGCAAACGGCTACGCCCACATTCGTCAAGTCTCGCCAAGATACAAGGCGCGAACTGTATATTAGGTACTTTATTTGCTGTAAATACATTTTTTGGCAGGTGAGTTTTAAATAACTTTTGCTATCTCTGTAGTTTTGTATACTTGAGAAATTAAACACAAAATAAAACCTTCTGGAGAAAATAAATTATATTATGGAAAATAAGTAGAACTAACAAACTTAATTCAATTTAAATGTATAATAAAACTGTATTTTTATAACTTTTTTAAAAACCGAATAGTAATAAACAATTATCATTAATAAATAAAATATTTTTATTAAATATAGTAAATATATAATATGTAATATGTGATATGAAATGGGAAAATAGCCGGAAGATAGGTATCAAGAAACCACACTTTTTAGCAAAACCTGAGCAAAGCATATTAAGTCGAGACCGTAACTTGCGTTATAATAGTGCACAAAGCTTTAAGCTTCAATGTGGCGCTTTATTTCTAAGAGAAAAAATTCGGTTTTTCGATCGTCACGGTGATTTTCTCATTTTACTTTTTCATCATAATATTAAATCCCATTTAAGGTTTTTAAACGAGGTATAAATATGTTGGTAATAGTTACAAAAACTTCATTATTTTTTTATTATCTTTTTAGAGTTCAACTCCAGCTAAACAACACCACACACCCAACGAAAAGAAGAAGAATGCATACCAGGTGCTTGTCGAAAAATACGAAGCACTAGTAAACGTCCACAGAGGACCAATGCGAAACATATCTTTGCAAGAGGAAATGCAACTTTCTGGTGATTTTAACACAATGAGCACAAAGGACACTGATGAAGAAAGCGGCCATGGTGACAGCTTACAACCGGAAAAAGAACACAAGAAAACTAGAAAGATGGTATCTCATACGCCTACTGATTTTTCAGAAGCTGAAACCAGTTCGTCAGGTTTTTCTGACGAGACTAGTAACAAGTCTACACAGACCGAAGGCAAGGTAGGCTCATTCCTTTGCACCATAGGCGATGGTGAAGACTGCAAATTTAGTATCTATGATGACGCCAATCCAGTCGAGTGCAGATTTAGATCAAGGCCTGAGTATCAAAAATTATTTAAGGAAATATTCTCAGTACTTAAACGAGCGGCTGAAACTAAGGAAGAAGATGAAAAGTTGCCGCAATTAGATGACATTACTCCTATAAAAATCGTTCCCAAGGTCCCACCAGTCACGCCATGTAATGACCAATTGCCAGATTTTCCTGATGATGACACACAAAGTATTCTTTCATCAACTATGTCTGAGATGTCCACTTCTCAAAACGAGCCTACAACGGTAATTGAGAATATAATACAATCACAAAACGAACCTATTCCAGAGCCAGAAACTTCAAAACCGAACAAAGAAAGTATTCTAAGGCCTTTGGTAAGACAGCAAAACGATTTCATCCAAGTAGAAAGTCGCAAACGATCTTCTTCAAGGCGTAAAAATAAGTTCGTTGACCGTTCTGACTCCCCAGTTACTCACATAATCGGAAGCCCCACAATTAACTATTCAAATAGACCAAATTCTGGTAGGAGACGCAGAGAAATTAAAAACTCTCCCATAGAAACTGTCGATACAACCTGGAATGGCAATACTCTTCAGTTTACCAGATCTTTATCCAGAAACTTGGCATCTCCTACGCCAAGTCAAGGTAGCGGTAAGATTGAATTTAAACCAAGTTCTGCATCTCAATCGTTGCACAAGCTTAAGAAGTTGGAACAATCGTACGCAGACGTGTTAAGAAATGCTGATACCAAGAGAGATATGCTTAGGCATAGGAGGAAGTAGGATGTTTAAGTCATTTTTATCATATTTTGTATATTTGTGTTTTGTTGTTTCCTATTGAGGCAGTTTTGTATAAATACATTTTAAAGTTTGCAAACTGAAAAAAAACGTACCTATGCATGATAATTTCATGTTAGTTTAAAATTAAACGAATTGGTATTAACAAAAATAAAGTTGATACTGAAACTATGCTCAAATACAATAATATATTGTTCTGCTTTTTAGCAAATTTTTGTACTTACGTTTTTTAATAACTTTATGTGTACCTACCTATATTTTTTTAAATTTAAATACATTTTAATGTTTTTATTATTTGCAAATTTGTAAATTGATTTTCACTGGTGTCTCCTTGTTGTAAATATTATTTTATGTTATTTTACATAATAATTGTTTTGTCAACTGTTTTTAAAATAAGTTTACTTAAAACTGAAACGATTTGCTCGTGAGCAAATATATTGTGCCAATAAAGAAAATGTAATATTCACAAAATCGTATTTATTGCACATTTTAAATTAATTATATTATTAATATTGTATTATTGTATATCCTAACAACAGTATCGTTTGGTATAAATATGCAATCTATTCTATTTATTTATAGATTTTTAGAATAGAGTAGCGTTTTTAAGAATAAATAAATAGGAACGAGACTATATTTGAGATTACAATACTACGAAATAAATAAAATGAATAAAATGTTTTTTTATTATCCTTTTTAAATCTTTCACTTCTTCCAACCATAATATTTACTTAATTTTCAGTTTCAATACTAATAGTAATTTTCAAAGACCGGATTTTAGGCCCTTAAAAATTGGAAATTAGGACACATTTATGTCCCTATTTATAAATAGGCAATAAAAACCTACATTTTAGGCCGTTTTAGGCTGAAAGTCTCTAAAATAGGCCTCAACCGCCTAAAATAGCCGATATGAAATAAAAACAACACGATTAAACATAACATTTATTCAGGTCCTATCAATAAAAATAAAACAAAAAATACATAATAAAAATAATAACACAAACTCTTGCAAACAATTTCCCGTATAAATAAAGAAAAGGAAAAACCTTCCTTGTAAAATTTAAAGCAAATATTTTGCCAATATATATTTATATATATATATATATATATATATATATATATATATATATATATATATATATATATATATATATATTGGAATAAACAGGCGACGCTGAACAAAAAAATAAAGAAATACAAACAAAAGCACGATACGTTGATTCCACCGGTTGTCAAAGTTGGCTTTTGCCATCTATTGTCTTTATAGAAAAACTATTTAACATCTGTAAATTGTGGAGAGTTATTTAATTATGCCATAGATGGCGACAAATTATATTACTTAAAACTGTTAAAAAGTCTGAAATTACCATAATGTAATACATATGTATATGGAAAATGCAGTAAAACCTATGAAAACAAAGTAAATAATAATTTTCAACCATTATTTTACAAACTTAATATTATCCATAATTATTTATAATAAATATTTAGATAGCAAAACACATTTACTTTTTGATTAGGTTTTCACTTGTTTTGTAATTTGTGGTCCTCGTTCTCGCCAAGGGCGTCTAGGCGAAATAAGAGCATGGAAGCAGGGTCTAATTAAAAATAATTTACTTTTCCGCAATAAAAAATATATTTTTACTGAAAAATTTAAACAGCCTATTTTAGGCTCATAAAAATATACTTTTAGGACAATAAATCAAAATTTTGCCATTTTAGGCTTTTAGGCAAAAACAAAGGGGTGTCAAACGCTTTATTTTTTAAGTTTAGGATTAATTTTAAAGTCCCAAACAAATGCCTAAACTAGAAACAAAAAGGCATTTTGCCTAAAATCCGGTCCTTGATTATGAGACCAATTTAACATTTCTTCTATAGAAAACAGCATTTTAAACATTCCTGTTGCAAATACAAGTTCGCATTTTCTTAATGCCCTTCAATACCTCGCCCTTAAAAATCTAAAAAGTGCACTTAAATTGTTACGCAATCGACCAAAACGAGGTTTATTCAATGCTCTTGGCTCAACCGTTAAATTTATCTATGGCAATTTAAATCAATCGGAAACAACAGAAAATTTGACAGATGCTCACAATGCCCTTAATCATAACGTAAATGAACTAATTATTTTTTGTAAAAAAAACAAACGACCGCTATAATAAAATAATAACAACATTTAATAAAATTTAAAAATACATTTTCCATGAATATCGACATGATTTTGACGAACTTTCAAGAACACAACTTTTAATACAAAATTATAATAATTTACAAAATGTTGTCGAAATGCTTTTCAGAACAATTTTATTCCCACGGTTAGGTTAATCTAATATATAAATGTTTGAAATTAGCGAAATCAATTATATAGAATCATCTTTATTTTCAATTTATTCGAAAGACCAATTACCTATCTCTGAGATTTATCCTTATGAATTAATGGAACGATCAAAAACAGTTGTTATTATTTCAGATCAATTAATTTCATTAATTTTAAAAGTTCCGATCTTATCTTTTCATTATACAAAATCCTATCCTTTCCTTCTACTGACGACATTATGATTATTCCACCTTCAAATTACTATTCTAATGGAAAATGGTTTAAAAATGGTCATGAAGGAACAAACGGTTTTATTTGCACCGGGAAAATATTTTCGAAATGTTCCCTTATAAAACCAGAAAAATGTCTAGCTGCATCTGTCCATCACCCGATCAGATATAAACTTCAGTCAAACGAAATGTTGGTATACAAATCAATCACCATCCAAGAAATATGTACAGGACACACAATTGTTCCCGAATGTGACGTAACCATCGATGAAGAAAGATACTCCATCAACAGCACTAAAGTATCGCTTAGGATACCACTTATTCGACCTATCCCACCAATTGCCACCCGAACAGCCGAACTAAACGAAATTCAAATCCCTCCAGAACTGGATTTGAAGCCATTAGAGAACATCTACTTGCAAAAGGAAATCCATTACACATTTTGGGTTATAACAATAATTATTGCAATACTAACTATAATTGAGAAGGTCCATTCCAAAACTCGGCTTATCCACTTTTTAATAAAAATGAGTTAGTGGTGTCTGTAAATTTAACATGTAGCCCCCTATACCCTGAAATAATCATAATATTCTAAAACTCACCTTATTCCATTTAAAATTCATTTACAAATTGACTATCGTTCCAAAACTTACCTTATCTATAGGTTACATCAGAATATAGGTCAGAACTGGCTTATATGTATGTAGTTTTAAATTATTTGAAATTGGAGCTATACCTTTTTAATCAAGGTATATAAATTTTATACTTATGCCTATATATTTCGTTCAAAGTATTCTGTTGGCCTGATAAGCGTTAGCACTCACGTGTAAGGTTTTTGACATTTTGCTCAAAATCACCTAATATGGATAAGCCGAGTTTTGGAATGCACCTCCTCAATTGTTGGAGTAGTATTAATCTGAAAAAAATCGCCTCAGTCATCTTCTGTTTCACCAGAGACCTACCCTCAAGGATTTGGAATCCGCTCTTTGAGCTAAGGAGGGAGGAGATACGTCTGCTGACTAGGCAACCCAGTTTACCTCGGACGGAACTACATACAATACCAGCACTTCTCTTTCAATATTAAAAAATAAATTAATTAAAAAGTGTAACTGTTTTAATTTAACAAATTAATAACTCAAAACTCCCGTGACTAAAATACCAAAAAGTCACCGATGCTAACTTCACCTTGTGACTAAAACGCCATAAAGTCACAGCTTGTCAATGTGGGAGTAGATAGAATAATTTTGTTATTCTTTTAATAGTGTGTTTTATTTATATAATAATAATATATTTATTTATGCTTCAAAAAGATACACAATTTTTGCACAAGTCACACAAAGAGTAAGTAAGACAATATAATAAATAATCTATAATGAAAAATAAGAAATATTACACAGATAAAGGTAAATAAATAACAATTACAGGTAAATACATACAATTACAGACAAGATGATTTGCATAAAAACGACTAGATTAGGATAAATCACAAAAATTGTTGGATAAAAATTCATCCATTGAATAAAATGCTTTATTAATAAGATAGTGTTTTAATATAGGTTTAAATTGGTTTATTTCCAAGTTTCTAAAAGCTAAAGGTAGAACATTAATTCCTTTCTAGACAAATATCCCGTCTGTTTCTAGTAGGATAGCCATGTACAGTGTAGGTACATTGTACACTGTACATTAGGGTGATTCAAAAATAGCTTTTTTTTAAAAATGAACCCGCACTGGCCTAAATTATAAGGATTACATTAAAACTAAAAGATTAATACTAAAAAATCCAAATTCAAAGAATATTTAGAGGTCGCTCAAATCGATTTTCGTATTTTTGCACATTCGAGCCGCGAAATTATTACTGCACAAAATAGTAAATAACTCCGGTAGATTTTATTCGATATTATTAAAAATTTAAGGGTTACCTAGTTTTTTAATACCCTCTGAGACACAGTGGCGGCTCGTCGGGGTAGGCAAGGTAGGCGCCGCCTACCCTGGAAATATGGATGTAAAATAATAAATATAAGTAATTTAACATTAATAAAATTACCAAATTTAATTAAATTATTTTTATTGCATTCATAAATCTTATTTATCGCAAATAAAACCTTTTATTGAATTGTTACGTGATGCGTCATGACGAAAGTAGCTAGTTCACACCTTTTTCTATGCTCTAAATCAGCATCTAAAGCAAGCAAAGGCGACTATCCCAAGCGCCTATTTATTTGATTCTTGCACGTCAACCAAGTGAAGAACGCTATACCGCTGACCAATAGAAACGCCGTTGACGTATGGTAAAATTGCGATGTGTAGGCGACACGATTGTTCGCCTTCGGCTAATCCGAAAGCCGATTCGGCTTCCGACTTGTAAGTTATTTTTTTAAGCCGGTAATCGATAAAATGATCGATCTCAATGCAAGAGGTTCAGAATATAATATGAATTTAATATTAAAAGTCCTGTAAATAACATTATTTGCAAGAATATATTAATATAATAAATAATTAATTTAAAATAGTGACATCTGTTGAGATAAATTCGAACGATAAAGGGTTTTTAAGCAGATTTCTTTTACATTTTAGTTCCGTCAATTAGATGTTTTTGAGTTAAACAATAATAATTATTGTTTTAAGCCAAATTCACTTTATTTTTGTGACTGTATCAGGAAATTAATTACCCGCTAAGTATTACTGTATCATTATTTATTATTATTATTAGAATTAGGTAGTATTAGTTTGTATTAGAATTAGGTAGTATTAGCGTTGATTATTAGCCTTGTTAATTAAACAAGGGTATTATTTTGCAATAATGGAGGGCCCATTTCATGACATTATTTGCTCATTACTTGAAAATCCATTTTCTCGCCTTAATGAAAACGATCGAATAGTATATTCTGTAACAAGTTTGGAATACAGCATATTCCGCTCGAGTGAAAAGTTTGTTACACGAGCCGAAGGCGAGTGTGACGGTTTCACGAGAGCGGAATATGCAATTCCAAACGTGTTTCCGACTATACTTTTTCTACGCTTATAAAAAATACCAGAGAAATAATTTAATTGGAAAAAAGTTAGGTTATCTTTTGACAGATGTTAGATTTTATGATGGTAGTAAATAAGATAATTTTTAAATAAGCTTATAAAAATTACTTACATCATTTTG